AAAAAAAAAAAAAAAAAGGAAAAAAGTGATGAAGTACAGGTAGTCCTCGACTTACAACAGATCGCTTAGTGACTGTTCGAAGTTACAATGCCACTGAAAAAAGTGCCCCCCAAGCCACAGCCGAGCAAGACACCTGCCTGCCCACCCGGCGGCGCTCTTCCTCCTGTCGAGGTTTTCATTGTTGTGAGCATTTCTGTTGAGGATTGGCAGCAGGGTGGGGTGGGGGGGTGTTTGGTTTTTATTCCCCCCCCCGGTCTGCTGGGTGGTTGCAGCAGGTTTTGGTCACTTCACATGACCCTGGGACACTGTGACCGTCATAAATATGAATCAGTTGCCAAGCATCTGAATGTAAATCACAAGACCCTGGAGATGCTGCAACATTCCAGCTGATCGGCGCTTCTTCTGGGCTCAGCAGAAGCACCAGGATCAGCGCTAAGCTCCAGCTGGATCCTTCCACTGAGCCCTGAGAGCCCTGCAGCTCCAGCCATCTCTCGCTCAGGCTTGTGCGGTGCTGCCACCGGTTCAGCTCATTCCCCTCCCCCGCTACCACTTTTCTAGGATGGTCACGTACCACCTGCCAGGTGCCAATGTACAACAGGTGGTACCCGTACCACTGGTTGAAAAGCCCTGGTCTAATTCCAACTCGAATTCTAAGTAAAACATAAGAAGGAAAATGGCTGCATCTCCATATGTTGTCAAAGCAAGAACATCCAATGTTAGCAGCGTTGACAATTCCTTACCCAGAATTGCAGGTCAAGCAGGTCAAGATTTGGTTCGATGAGCAAATAGATAGTCCTCCATTTACAGCTATTCATTTAGTGACCGTTTGAAGTTAACGGCACGGAAAAAGGCAACTTAAAATGGTGGCTCACACTGATGACCGTTGCAGCGTCCCCCATGGTCACGTGATCAAAATTCAAACGCTTGGTAACTGGTTCATATTTACGATGGTTGCAGCGTCCCCCAGGATCACGTGATCCCCTTTTGCAACCTTCTGACAAGCAAAGTCAATGGGGGAAAGCCAGATTCACTTAACAACAGTGTTGTTGTTGTTAGGACTCAATTGTAGTTGTAAGTCAAGGACTGCCTATATTTTCTGCTGGCTAAAAAAAATGAAAGACCCATTCGTTTGTTTCTTTGTTTTTTTGGGAAATATTTATTTATTTACTTTTACGGTTTCCCCCCCTGCACGGATCGTTTTTTTTCCCAGTTTTTTATTTCAACATTTGGCAGCGTCTTAGTGCAGACGGCGCACTGCCCGGGATCGCCACGAGGGGAGGAGGTGAAGGTGGAGTGGAAGATTTGACACGCTACACTTAACTTACACACACTCTGCTTGTGGAAGGTGGTTGCACGAGATGGCTTTTCTACTAGAGCTGAAAAAAAAACCTCAACAACAACAACAATCTGCTAGGCAAGGCTACCGTTTCCCGAACTGCTAAATCAGAAATGGGCGGGGGCCCAACCTTGGCAACTTTAAGACTTGTGGACTTCAACTCCCAGAGTTCTCCAGCAAGCATGTCTGGCTCAGGAATTGTGGGAGTTGAAGTCCACAGGTCATAAAGGGGCCATTTGTCCGGGTTGGTATAGGGCAGGGGTCTTCAAACTTGGCCCTTTTATGACTTGTGGACTTCAACTCCCAGAATTCCTCAGCCAGGCATGCCTGGCTGAGGAATTCTGGGAGTTGAAGTCCACAAGTCATAAAAGAGCCAAGTTTGAAGACCCCTGATATATAGGGCATCCTATACCATCTGGACAAATGGTTGTACAATCTCTTCTTAAAAACTTTCACTGTTGGAGCATCCACAACTTCCACTGTTTGTTCTCGCTGTCTGTCAGGAACTTTTTCCTCAGTTCCAAGTTGCTTCTCTCCTTGATCAGTTTCCACCCGTTGCTCCTTGTCCTGCCTTCAGGGGCTTTGGAGAATAGCTTGACTCCCTCTTCTTTGGGGCAGCCCCTGAGATATTGGAACACTGCTATGGATTCTCCTTCATCTTAGTCTGTTAGCCATTCGCCTATCTTCTTCTGAGGTAGGTTGAAAGACTAGGTGAACAGATCCCTTGTGCTTGATTCTCTAGGGCAGGGGTTCTCCAAACTTGGCCCTTTTATGACTTGTGGACTTCAACTCCCAGAATTCCCCAGCCAACATGTCTGACTCAGGGTTTCTGGGAGTTGAAGTTCACAGGTCATAAAGTTGCCCACCCTTGTCCTATACCAGGGGTCTTCAAACTTGGCCCTTGTATGACTTGTGGACTTCAACTCCCAGAATTCCCCAGCCAACATGTCTGACTCAGGGTTTCTGGGAGTTGAAGTCCACAAGTCATAAAAGGGCCAAGTTTGAAGACCCCTGTCTTATCCCATCAGGGACAAATGGCTGTCCAATCTCTTCTTTAAAACCTCCCGTGCTGGAGCACCCACAACATCTGAAGGCTAGTCATTCACTGTCAGGAAATTTCTCCTTAGTTCTAGGTTGTTTCTCTCTCGGTTAACTTTTCCATCTCTGCCCACATTGGGGGTCATCGGAGCCGGGGCAAAGAAGGAAAAATAATAATAATTTAGGTATACCGATATAGATCAAAGCTCCAGCCTTTTTTCTTTAATCTGCACCGTATAACCACGCCCGAAATAAATTCAGGGGCTAAATTTTGCATGTGCCTGCTTTCTGACATTTCAGGATGCTCGGTGTCGACAGCTGTAATGGAAAAAGTGTGTGGGTGGCTGCCGGCCATAGCAGTGAACGACGCCCTGTTCGAATCTCGCCTTGCCCTTCCTCTTAGCAGTGACCAGAAAAACCAGTCGCCCAGAGAATTGAAGCAAACCCCAAGATACTGATCTCGCCTCTTCTCACTTTGAGATCTGAAAGAGAAAGAGAGATGAAAACCACGATCAGCTGAAGCCTTTGAAAAGCAAAGCCTGCAGAATGGAAAAATCACCTCGAAAGAGAGTTGACGTAGGCGGAGGGCGGCTTGGGCGGAAAGGCGGTCGCGCTTAGGCAAAAGGAGGCTTATTCAGACAATCTTCAGCACAGCAGAAAAGGAGGGGAGGCCAGCTGAAATTCTGGGGCGTTCTGAAAGTTGAAGTCCACACAATGCTGGTCAGGGGATTCTGGGAAATTGAAGTCCACTATGCTAGATGTGGGATTCTGGGAAACTGGTCCACTATGCTAGCTGGGGGATTTTGGGATTTGAAGTCCACTGTGCTAGCTTGGGGATTCTGGGAGTTGAAGTCCACTATGCTAACTTGAGGATTCTGTGATTTGAAGTCCACTATGCTAGATGGGGGATTCTGGGAGTTGAAGTCCACTATGCTAGCTGGGGGATTCTGGGAAAGTGAAGTCAACTATGCTAGCTGGGGGATTCTGGGAAAGTGAAGTCCACTATGCTAGCTGGGGGATTCTGGGATTTGAAGTCCACTGTGGTAGGTGGGGGGGTTCTGAAAGTTGAAGTCCACTATGCTAGCTGGGGGATTCTGGAAAATTGAAGTCCACTATGCTAGCTGGGGGATTCTGGGAAATTGAAGTCCACTATGCTAGATGGGGGATTCTGGAAAATTGAAGTCCACTATGTTAGCTGGGGGATTCTGGGATTTGAAGTCCACTATGCTAGCTGGGGGATTCTGGGAAATTGAAGTCCACTATGCTAGATGGGGGATTCTGGAAAATTGAAGTCCACTATGCTAGCTGGGGGATTCTGGGAGTTGAAATCCACACATCTTAAAATTATCAAGGCTGAACGTTGTAGACTGCTCAAACCACCGAACATTTTGGCTTAACAGGATGGACCACCTGACACAAGAAGCTGAACCACAAAGTCCCATTTTCTTTTGTTTGCTTTCGGTGTGACTCAATATTGACCCCTGAGTTTCATAGCTCAGTGAGTAAATGAATGTGGGTTTCCACTGCTATCCCACACTCATGAGCCCCACCCCCACCCCTTGGCCCCTTTGGAAGGCACCAGAGAGTTTGTGTGTGTTTCCTCTCCATTTTCTTTCCTGTGTCATATTTTGCCATAGACAGATAGACACACAGATGATAGACAGACAGACAGACAGACAGATAGATGATAGATATAGATAATAGATAGATAGATAGATAGATAGATAGATAGATAGATAGATAGATAGATGAGAGAGATGATAGATGATAGATATAGTTAATAGATAAATGATAGATATAGATAATAGATATAGATAGATGATAGATATAGATAATAGAGATAGATAGATAGATAGATAGATAGATAGATAGATAGATAGATAGATAGATAGATAGATAAGAGTGCT